AGTTACTTTACAAATGAAGATTTTTGCATACAAGAGTTTATACAATATGATGTTGATATGTCATAAATGAAACTACCCAACAGTATGTACAAGTACAGCTCAAATGATGAGTTGATTCATTGATTTAGTCAATGTATTTGTATTCATTTAGAATTTTGCACTACTGGTTGGCCATTTATATAAGTGCACGAGCAGCCTAATAATGATAAAATGAGTTAATATATAATAGTATGGACACTTTAAGTACATGTTCCTGATTATACTTTCATATTACATATAAGTCATTTTACTTAAGTAAAGGATCGAGCCCTGTACTGTAACCCTCATGCACCTGCTGCAAACGTTTGCCTATATTTCCTGTATCTGTGTTCCAGACATCCGCTGGCTTCATTCTTCCACCTCTTCTTCCGAGCAAGTGCCATCTTGGTCTACTTACTGAGCGACATCGTCAGCGGTCGTTTCATTGCCTGCATGGTGACCATCATCCTCCTGCTGTCATGTGACTTCTGGACCGTCAAGGTGAGGAGGTCAGGTTATGTTTAACCAGTTATCCTGTGTCATGCTTCAGTTGTGTAGGTAACGCCTGGTCTGTGTTACGTGTAGGGCTGCAACTTGCGATTATTTTCAATATCAGTTAATCAGCAAATAGATTTCTTGATTAATCATTCGGTTTATGTGAAAAGTTCCCCTTTTTGCTTGTTTTGTATTAAATGTACAATCATATGATTAAGAAAAAGCATAAGATTCTCACTTGCATGTTGAAAAATTAGTGAAATGATTAATTGATTACTGAGATTGAAACTCTAGTTTTGATATTCATTTATTGTTTGTTTGAGTTTATTATATATTTTCCGTCTTTGCATGTCCATGTTGCTTGTTAGACTGAATATGTGCATTATGTTGTTCATGATAAAATCTAATCCCATTACCAGGCTTTCATTTACAAATAGATCTGTTTTTTCCTCCCAGAATGTTTCGGGCAGATTGCTGGTGGGCCTTCGGTGGTGGAATCAAGTGGATGAAGATGGAAAGAGTCACTGGGTGTTTGAGTCAAGGAAGGTAAGCAGAAGCCCGTCAGGTACGTCCTAAAATACCTCGCTTGTATTTTGCACGGGGCTCTCTTTTAACTCGAGAAAACAAAGCTTTCTGAACAAAGCAGGTTTCTCACGTGAAAGACACAAGATAGAGTGAAACACCCGTTCTATACTAAACTGCCTCGTCACTTTTCCTTTTTACAATTAAATGTGACCCTGGTTTTCAGGAAAGTAAAAACCAGACATATTCAAAGTAACAGGGCAACTGCATTCCAGAAAATATCTTGCATCTACAATTTCATAGATTAACTACACCATGAAGCCTTTTTTGAAGTGTCATTGTAACATTTGCTTAGCCTCTTTATGGTGTAATGTAGCTGCATGACCTTTTGCACAACTGAAGATAGTGTAACAGCTGCATTGTCATCTGTTAGAAATATCATACAGCACAATGGGGACATCGGATGTGAATTTCCAAATAGTTTTTTTTTTCTTTCTTTCATTTTTGTTGAATAGCATGAAAGAAAATCTTGTTTACTTTTCCTAACAGACGCACAGTCTGAACACGACATCCAGTGCAGAGTCACGGATCTTCTGGCTCGGACTCGTCGTGTGCCCCGTCTTCTGGGTTATTTTTGTCTTCAGTACCATCTTCACTTTCAAGATTAAATGGCTGGTCAGTGCAGTTTTCTTGGAAGTGCATGTCAGTTGCTTTTTTATGAATCATTAGCTTCTAATTGTTTGCTGATTCCTGTTTTTGATTTTTATTAAATACTGCAGGCTGTAGTCATCATGGGCTTGGTTTTACAATCGGCCAATCTGTATGGCTATGTCAGATGCAAGGTGGGTGGGGAGTCCAACCTCAAAAACATGGCGAAGAACTACCTCGGTGTCCAGATATTTAAACAGGTGTGTGAAAATAAATCATACCTCCCTCCTTCCTTAGTTTTCTGTCTTAATTACATGATGCATTAACTTTTCTTTTTTTTTTTTTTCACTAAAGGCAATGAAGAAAGCAGAGGAGCCTTGAAGTTAACGCTGGATGGACACATTATGTTTATTTGCTTCCTGTTGCTCTTTTCTGAGCGTATATGGGTTTTGTAATGTAAAGGTTTGGGTAAAACTTTTGTATGTCCTGTTTCCTCAAAATTCACTGACTTAAGTATTCTAACCTTTCTGATAACTTGAATAAAATACGATGTAGTTGCTTTTGGGAATACATTTTATACAGTTGTTTTGGCAATGCAGGTAATTGTATTATATTTTCACTGATGTGAGGTGGTCAAAACCTTGCTGGTAAACTTAAAGTTCACCACAAGACTGTCACAGTTGCCAATAGGCCAATGACAATGTATCTTACCCAGGAGTTAAAGAAGGTAATGTTAAAATGCCTGATTCCTGATGGGATTTGAATTAAGACAGTGCCCTAAATTTAGGCCAGTTTTGTTGTAAAAATGAAAGCACTAAATGTGTTTTAGATGCAGCTTGAGTTTGAGCCACTTCTGTGACATTTAACAATGCGGTCTGCATATGAATGTACTGTATACTGATGTGAAAAGGGCATTTGGAGATAATTTGGGGAATATATTTATGTGTTACCTTATTGTGCCTACTGTTTAAACCTGGATTGTGGACATTAAAGTTATACTACTGCTTTATGTATGTTGTTTAAATCAAAATCAGAATGTTATAAATGACATTGTAGGACGTGGTAGGGTTAAGTGCAAGTTTATAAAGTTGAAAATGTTTTTATAGAAGTGCTACTTGGGTGTGGTTTTGTACAAAAACTGTTCCTTTACTCAGGACTTATCTGGGAAATTGTGTTTTGCAAAAAAAATCATGTTATCTAAAGATAATGTACTGTGCTGTAAATAGGAACAGTGTAACAAAGGAGTGTTATCTGGGGGTTTCATAGGATATTGTACGTGTCAAAGTTTCACTATGAATTCCCTGCAGATTACCTCAGACACACCTATCAAGCGAGTGTAAAGGAGTTCAGCCTGTCTGTCTGCAGTGAATGAGTCAACCACCAGGTGGCAACAAAGGAACGTCAGAGTTAAGCAGATTATGTGTCCCATATATTATTTCCTCTGTCCTTTACTTGCATTTAATATATGTGCGGACATTAACCACCTTATTCCATGGATTAGAATCCCCTAAGAATAATTTATTGGAATACGGCCGTACAAGTCCGGAAGAGATTGTGCAACATTGGAAAATCCTTAAGAATAAAATCTATTTTAGTCGTGTGCAGATGTTCTATTTTTAAACAACCATCTCATTAAACATCATGTGGTGATATTCCTTTATTTGTTTGTTTTTCAGAAATATGTTAACTCACATTTGTAGCTGACATCGAGAGACAAACTATGAGTACAAAGATACCACAATACTTGACATATTATAATGAATAAGGTTATACACATGCAACTGCAACAAATGTAATAAATGTAAATAGTATCAACCTTTAAATCTTTGCATTTGAATGTTGAATTTGAATGAATGAGACCTTATGTATGTAATTTTATGAAGAATAGCTCAGTTGAGTTTTTTATTAGATAGTGGCATGCATTAATATGCAATGAGCCTGTTTTATTAGTACCAGAAAGTAAAATGGTTAATTTTGCATTCATAATTTACCATTACATAAGTCATTGCAAAAAAGTACATAGTGCCAAAAATGAAATAGAGCCAGAAAAATATCTTGTCCAGTCTGCTGGCAAACTGCTGATCTTGCTCACTTTTCAGCAGCTTTGCGTCAAAGTCTTCCAGGAAGTTGACCACCTTTCTGAGCATCTGACTGTGCTCCTCTGAGGCACTCAGCTGAACGACACTAATGTCAGCTTTGGCTTCTGTAGGGATTGAATAAGCAATCAGAGCAGGTCATACAGTGTGTTTTGTCAAAAAAAATCAAAGTACCCTACTTAATATCAAAAGTATTGCAGTTCTTCCTCACCCTCATCCTCATTCTCTGCCTCTTTCTTTGGGACTGGGCCTTGGACGCAGCAGGAGAAAATGTTGCTGCCTTCTTTGGCCAACCGTGTCAGCACCAGGGACACCAACATGCTTAACACCAGCAAGACCAGACAAACACAGAAGTGGGTTCCTGCAGCACAGACAAACGGTTAGTGGCTCAAACTGTGATGCTGTTCCTATATTTGGTTTGTGCATGAGTTTCTGCATGAGAGCTGACATACGGATGATGGGGCTGCACTGGCCGTCTCCAGGGAGCTCATTGTTCAGGATGACTAGGAACATGGTGAAGCTGAGCACCAGAGTGACCTTGAAAGAGTTGCGTTCACCGCCTCCCAGCGGCAGAGCGAAGCTGACCACGTCAGCCAGGACGATCAGAATGCTGGGCAACAGTAATGTTATGAAGGGGTTGAGATATTTGATGCTCAATGCCACCTGAGGAGTAAGACAGACATAATCTCATAGTTCAATATAGAACGTGGTTTTTTTAGAACTCCTGGTAAATACTAGTATGTGGGCAGAAGAAATGGCAAATGTTGGATGGTTTGGTATGGTGGTAAGAATAGTGAAGTGTTGTTTATTTGGGCAATTTTCAGAGGAAATACGAATCTAGAATAATTAGATTTATTTTCATTATTGATTGCTCTCAATTAATCAAATAGTGTATTTTATATTTCTCAACTAATCATTCTAACCTCCGCCCTGTGTCACAATCACACAAGTCAGTTGCTGTTCTTCAAAGCTAAATACTGTAACGTAAATCATTACCTAATGACCATTCCACACGTTTATAAACGTACCATGATGTAATGGTGGTCATCTCCTTGAGTCAGTAAGTTCACATCATCAGTTTGCCAATCTCCATGGGTTGTATCAACTGGATACACAACAGCCAATGCCAGCACTGTGCCACATCCTGAAAGAAATTAAGCCTTCTTTAAAAAAACACTCCTCCAATATAGCATTGCAGTCCTGTAACAAGTAAAAAAAAAAAAGTTTCAAAATCAATGCAGGAGAATCAGAGATATTGTCTTGTTTATTTCAGGCATACATCTTCTAAAACCTGGTGCCTGCACCTCAAGTTTTTTTCATTTTCAAACTTGTGGTCTTCAGCACCCAACTTTGCCGCAAGTGACATCACCCGAGGTAACTGTCAACCAGTCTATTTTGTCATCACACTGAGGCTCCACCTCTCAATTATCCAATGATTTCACTGGGTTCTGTGCGCTGGCTATCCTATCTTTCAATGACCACCTGAAACCACCTTACCTATTTTGTCTCTTTCTTTTGTCATTGCAGTGTGCATCACAACACTGACCCACCACCACCAGTGTTACGGCCCTGTCTACCCTGTCAACGCCAAAGTCTTTCCCAATAAAGCTCCTGCATTCATGTTAACTTGTGTCTTACACTCCCCAAGAGGTGTAAACAGACTTTGTAAAATCAGTTTTTAGTTCCATGTTTAATATAACCTGACTGAGTTTTAATATGGGGCCTTGGAGATTGATCACTTCTGTAGCCAGCCTCAAGTGGCTGTTCGCGGAACTGCATTTTTTTGTTTGCGTTGGCTTCATTTGCCACAGAGGTTGCCGCTTACTCCGCAGCTGCCAGTATTTCCTCTTCCAAAGGATGCTGATTGGTCTAGTACCACTGTACTGCATGCAAGCCTGGCTCAATGGATTCTCTATCATGATTTTATTTAGTCCAGCTTCCTTACAAGGTTAATTTTAATATTGTTTGCTCTGAATTTATGTCAGTTACACACATTTAGACAGCTGAATTGTGGTTATTATGGTTATGGCTATGCTTTTAAACAACTGGAATATCATCCCAAGGATTAAACCCACTTTTAAAAGCATAACTGTAAAACCCCACTCAACCTCCACCATAACCATTCATGACTGAAGAAGATTAATCTTAACTTAACCCACATATGTAAAATGATTAAATTAGATACAATACTGTATAACATTTGTATTAGTGAGTTGCTGAGCTCACCATCTTTGGACCAGGTATGGATGGCGACAGGGCATTCATCAGCAGCGAAGGGATAGTTGAAGAGGTTGATTTCACAGTTCACCTCTGCATTTATGATCACATCGTGCTTAAGTCTGCCATCACTGAACACCAGCAGATCACGGGAGCTGTGCTTCATGGTTGTTATTATTCTACGCAGGTAAGAGACAACAGATGTGTCAGATGAAAGTCAAGATGGATTGAATTTGTGATAATAGCTGTAAACTCTTTTGACTGACCCATTTGTCACATGGAGCTCTGGAGTCCAGACTTTATCTACGGGTAGGATCACATAATCATATTGGTAAACTGATGTGTTCCATGCCAACTCAGGATCTTTCCATTCCTGTGGTTTAAAATTAGAATGAATGCGATTGAAACAAACTCTTTGTTCCTTTTTGTGCATTTATAAATATCTTGAAGCTTACAAGTGATGCTTGCAGACGACTAATCAGGCGGAGATTCTTTGTGTCCTGTTAAAAAAAATATAAAAAATGTGGTTAGGAAAAATATCAACACTACTGGAGTGCTGGTGGAAATGTTATAAGCAATAATCTGTGTCTTTGTGTCTGAAAATATATGTGAGATAAATAAGGTTTAATATGTTTTAAGGCATCCTGTATGCATTTTACAAATGCAAAATACATTCTCAACACATCTTCAGCAGGCTTACAATAACAATCATATAATGAAATATAATAAAAGACCAGTGGTGAAATGTTACTTAGTAAGTGCATTTACTTATGTACAAATTAGGGGTTAGAGCTACTTTACTTTCCATTTTATGCAACTTTATACTTATTATTTATGTTATTAATATTATACTTATTACTTTATACTTACTCCACTACATTTCAAAGGCAAGGATTGTTCTTTTTACTACATTTATCTGAATAATACATCTTCCAACAATGTAAACTGTAAATGACTGCCAAACAGAATACTATATATAATTGTAATTTTAATGATTTAAATGATCATATAAAACAAATTATAAAACAATACTTACAACTGACAGGGTTTGGTACTCAATGAATGGCACCTTAATCTCATGGGTGCAGTTTTCATACTGTGGCTGAGACAAATATTCTTTCTTGATCAACATTTCAGCCAGACAACGACGACTTCTGCATTTGGAGTCAGCATTTCCACATCCTGGAATTAGAGATGAATGTGAACCAAAGCTTTAAATATTTTCAGAAATACCTCTGCCAGTCTACTAGAAACTAGAAAAAATTGTTTTGTGAGATAAAAGGTACACTTACCTACTGTTAAAGTCAGTAAGATTACTGCTTTCCACAGACTGTGTGTAAGAAATATTTCTGACTGCATCTCCACAGGAATGACACTATTAGTTTCACATATGAGTAATAATTGCAGATTGACTGAAAGCGGTGTGCCAGTTTCTTACCATCTCTATCTTTTACTCCTTTCTTTAGGTTTCAGCTCGACATGACACTTAAATAGGCCTGTATATGACGATTAACCACATATGTACCACGTACACACACTACAAGACAATATGACTTAACCACAATTGTGTGTGAGAATACCATTGCGTGATTAATTACAGTGGGAGTACATGGTATGCCTCAATCATCTGTGTAAACACTAAGAGCATAAATGCAATTACTGTCACTATCTATATACCTGCCAGCACATTCAGGTAGCTCCAGCTGCTATTTTTCATCATGGCTGGCCAGTGCTACTTTGCATTACAATGGCACTGTATGACAGTGAGCTGAGGCAGTCAATAATGGAGACATGAGTTTACCTCAAAGAGCCAGGTCTCCCAGTGATGGATGCAGGACAAAGACCTGCAGCCCTTTGAGTGCACTGTGGTTTCGG